CAAATTTTCCGATGGAAGAGACCTTTGTTAGTTGAAAATTATTTTAATGATATTTTGCATAAACAATATTATTAAATGCACCATGCTTAGAACTCATGATTTCCTAGATTGGCAGATTGCAACTGACCCAGAGCTGAAGCTAATACAAGCATATTAAGCAGATGCTTAGAGCCCCTGCTAGTTAGTGGCCCTCCAACAGTTTTGTAAACAAAATGTTAAAATTGTTCATAAATATTAAAATAGTATTCTACTATTATTTTTCATCGTCATGTATATTTTGGTTTGAGCTATAGTCCTATTCTGATAATAAGTATTTAAAATTGTCACAGCAGATCTTTCCTTTTGCAAGGTCAACCTGTTTCTTCTTTCTACAGATATGAACTCAAACATCAGACACACTACCTGTTCTAGATTCTTTCTTTGCATATTTTCAGGCCATTTTAACTTATATTGTGTTATCACTTCACCCGCAGAAGTTATTTCTGTAACTATAAATATACTATAGAAATATATGGAAAATTACTATAAATATTTATGACTGCATCAACTTTTGTGCACAAAAGGAATAAAAGTGATATGTGATGATCAGAATAAAGTTCTATGATTAGTCTCAAAAATCTATAAAATAAAAGTTTTTAGAAATTTCATGAAATGTACCTTTCAAATGAAAAGAACATTGAATCAGTGATTGGCATTTGAGCAGTACCTGTAACTACATTTGGTGTTCTTCATAAGTCAACAACTTTACGGCAAAAACTTAAATTGAAGCTTTAAATTAAGCTTAAGTTCGCATCACCTTTACCAAGTACCGCATGCATCATCCTAATAATTCAACGACAAAGATATACTTACCTCGGAAAGAAGGATGTAGAGGTCTCCTAGGCTTTTAAGACCTCGTGCGCTAAACAAATCAACAATCTAAGCGATTATATCCTCTAAGAAAGTCAGCTGTGCATGAGTCAATTTGTGCCGCGGGCAAGATTTTTACGTTTCTGAACCTCAATCAAGAGACCAGGCATCATCAATGAATATAGGCTCAGTGAATGGACACGGCAACTGATAACGGCATTTAACGGGTGGGTGATTGCTTTGGCCGAAATAGAATATCTGACTCGGCCCAACTATGTTGCTGCTGTAGAATATTAGGTCCTAGTAGCGAAGTCAGAGTTGATGGAGAATAGGTCCCATAGTACAAGTTCTTGCCAGGAAGGTCTGGAGACAATGTGGAATGTTGCTGTTAGTGGCGGCCGGTACGAAACTCTATTGAGGGTGCCATGGTGATTCGACATTGATAACAAACCATCAATGTTACCAAGCATAGATGTTCAAAATTAAAACATCGATCAAAAACCACCTATTCTTTTAAATGCGATATTTTAAAACTTATTTGTTAATTTCTAAAATCGAATTCGTTGACAACAAAATTTAACTTTACAGTCAACGTGTTTATTAAGTTATAATGAAGAAAAAAACTGAAAACTAGTGTTTGAACAACATTGGAGGAAAAACAACAACAAATTGCAAATAATAATAATAATAATAATAATAATAATAATAATAATAATAATAATTATTATTATTATTATTATTATTATTATTATTATTATTATTATTATTATAATATTGATAGCTCCATCTAGGGAGTGCATGACCTTGTAGTTAGTGGTGGAATTTGAGTACCTCCGTGATCCTGAGAGCTATGTCGGCGGAAGAGTATAGGTGCAGGCAGGGTCTCTCTTGCCAATGTTCGCTAGTGAGAGGTCAGACGAAGAAGATCCCCAGGGAAGAAACTCAATGGCATGTTCAAAGAAGAGGAGGAGAATGGCGTCGGCGGAAGAGGCTCCTGGAAGACCTGCAGTGGGCAGCGTCTGACCTGCAGTCGGCGGCTGCATCTACTGCGGGAAGTAAGTATAGAGAGAAAGATCATGCACCCTTGAAATTCCTGTTATCGACTCGTGGAAGATATAGGTACAATTTAAGTTGCCTAATGCAATAAATTTTTATGATGAGTTTATATTAACTTTGCGTGACCATGACGAAAAAGAGGAAATTTACCTGGGCATTTTCAAGAATATCTAATTATGTCAGCTCTAGATGTTTACAGTCATTTTAGACTATTCAGAGCAATTTGCTAGATGCAAATTTTGAGATTTCCACAAATTCATTACGGATGAAACAATACTGCATAATATGTCTATGACCAAGCTCATGGGGCTACCGAAACCTAGCCCCCCTTTTTTATATTATATATATATATATATATATATATATATATATATATATATATATATATATATATATATATATATATATATTACATAAGTTACCAATATTTAGAATATACTCATGTATACTCATGACAATAGTTCAATAGATATCCTAGTTGTAAGGTAAGAAGGTATTCAATTTGAATTTGTTTTTGTTTCTTTGTTGTTGTTTTTTGTATTTTTTCATTATCTGGTTACTTTTAGTGATATTTCTAGTACTTTTTTATTATTTTAAACTAATTTGTAAGGTTCCCAATAAAACAGTTATGCAGTCGCAATCTTACCGTTTATAAACAAATTTTCTGATGGAAGAGACCTTTGTTAGTTGAAAATTATTTTAATGATATTTAGCATAAACAATAATATTAAATGCACTCCGGAGAAACACTCCCCAAAGGGTATTCGTGGGAAATTGAGCATCCTGGAAGAGAAAGTAACAAAGGGAGGGCAAGTGAGGGAATATTATCGGGTGTGAGGAAAGAAGTTATGGCAGTGAAAAGGATAAAGGATGAAGAAGAAGAAGAAGAGGAGGAGGAGGAGGAGGAAGAAAGGGGTTGTGATAAAGAAGAATGGTAATTGTTGGATAAGTGATGTCAATTTGCACAATATTTGTGATAAAGGAATTCTTTGAATAGTGCAAGAGAAGAGGACGAAATAATATTCTGCTTGATGATTTTAATCCAAAAATGTGAATGGACTAGATAAGGAAGTATGGTTTGATTTGGATAAGAGAAGTGGGTGGTCTAAGGTTGATGTTAAGAAAAAATGGGGCGTTAAAATGCTGAATTTTTTGAACGAATGAGATTGATACATTGTTAATGGTAATGTGGAGAGGGACTGGGAATGGCAAAGTGAGAGGGAGAGGGTTGATCTTACATTTTGTGGTTACTGAGAATGAAGGACGGAAAATAATTAATGAACTGGTAGTACAGGATATGGCTTATTCAGACCAGCTAATTTATATTGAGTATAGTATTTGTAGGAAGGGAAGAAGAGGAGTGTGGTTGATAATATGGACAGAGGCGAGAACAGAGAGAGAGAGAGAGAGAGAGAGAGTTTAAGAGATACTTTAAAAGGGAGATATGTGCCTGGTGAAGTAATGAAAATTACGGAGAGCGTGATGAGGAAGAAGGTTGTGAATCGTTTTATTGGAATGTAACATTGAAGGTAATTGGAAGGTAACACTCGCGTACCAATGACATTCCGGTTCCCAGAGCACATTAATAGAGATTAAACGGAGGACCCCAAATACTCTGCAGAACAATTGAAGGATTTTTTTTATATTTAGAAATAATTTTAGATTATTTAGCAGTACATTACAATTACTTGTGTATATTATTTTCTGCAAGTTCATGTTAAAATATTATCAGTTTTGCGACATGGCAAGGGCATATTTATGCTGAAATTTTTCCGTACTTGCCGTTATTTCCACGAGAACACACACGCCCACATTCTTTTTTTTCAACAACTAGTTCAACATTCACTATGTTGCGTCAATTTCCCAACTGCTATCCATTGATTGGGGGATTGATAGGAAAACGAATGAATTTTGTATATGATAAAGAGGATACTTAGGAGCAAGTGTAGCGGGGAATGATGGTATACTATGAAGGTTCTTGATAGCTTGGTGGTTGTGGAAAACGGAGATTTGAGGTTGGAAATAGAGGAATGGAAATAGATAATCCGGGAGTAATTAACATTACAGAAGCTGAAACCTGCATAATTAAAAATAACCAGGCTTGCAACAACGAAAATTATGCTGAACTATAACCATACAAGTTAAAAAAATAGTAAGCACGTTGCTCAAACACATCATATAAAATACTCTGGTAAGACACTCCAATAAATTCAATATTTTAATAAAACAGTATCCAATTCCTTTATGGTGTAGTAACTCATTATTGAGAGCGTTCATGCAAAACAAACATGGCCCTCGAAAAAAAAACGAGTTAGCATTGCAGTAATACTAATGACCGTCATCTGCATTTTCTGTCCTGATGTGGAAGAGAGAAATCAAATATATCCCTAATATTTTTACTTGTAAACATACGAGGTTCAGACAAAATCTAATATGACCACAGCGTTGTTGCAGGCAAAAAAGAACATGTATGTGTAAGAAATAAGAATCCCAGATTCACGATCACGTGACTGCTCATGCTGTGTGGTTCATTCCGTCTGTGAAGTTTTCACAAAAGCGTTCTATTTTATTTATTAGAAGATTGGTATCCTATGGACACAAAAGCTTTGAACAGCATGTTCAAGAACGAACAGAACATCAGAAATGTGAAGCGAATCGTTATTTAGAAGACAATGAAAGAGAGAAGATGTATACAGTCACAGTTATGCCACAGCAATATTTTACCATTGATAAAGTTTCTGTGTTGAACCTTTGGAAATGTGGTGTTTCATTAAGAAATATGATACAATTTAGCCGTCAGCAGGTTTCATTGGAAAGGGGCAGAAATCTAATGTAGCAGGTCTATTGACTGAACTTTTCGGAGATAAATGAAGGGAATTCTTCAGATATTCCTGGCCCGGTATGCTAGTCCTTTGTTCTTGATGTACCAATAGCTGAAAAGCAAACTCGAATGGATAGTCTATAAGTTAAAGATAATTGTGATTGTTCAGAAGATGAGCATGGCTGGAACATATAAATTTTAATTTATTTTTAGTTCTTTGTAATTTCTTTAAAAGCCAAAAACTGGATACATTCGCTACAGAAATTGTTGCTGTACGTAGCTTTGTTTGTTTGGAAAAATAAAATATTTGCTTGCAAACTGCAGTACATTATTTGTCCAAATCAAACGTGATAATAATATTAGCCCTATTTTATGCAAAAGCAAATATGTCCGCAGGTGATTCGGACAAAAGAAAACCTGTCCAAATTTCCCAAGCAAAAGCAAACATGTCCAACTTTTAACATGAAATATCGTCATAATAGTAAATAACTGATTTGAGAGCAGTATACGTACACTATTGTAACTATACTGGTAAGCAGTACATCATATTATTTTGTTTGAAAAGGTGATAACTTGTCAATAACCAGTTTTTCGCAGTTTCTGAAAAATTTTATTTGATAGACATGTTATTTGCACGAACGCTCCACCATTATCTTGTATTTTATCTGCCATTAAGGATGTCAAGAGCTAAATTGTCGGGTTCAGTCTCCTTCCAGTCTTTGATGTCCAGCGTCGTGTCTGGTATTCATCCTCTGCTTTTAAACTTTTAAGCTTCTTAAAAATAAAAGTGATGTGCATGTACCACAAAATCTTAAGAAAATGAAAAACCAAAAATCTATTTTCTTGTTTAAGGATGCAAAATAAACGTGCATACCAAAACCATTTTGTTTTATTATTTTACATAATATTAAGAATGCCTTTTAGGCAATCTTCTGTCTTTGAAAAAATATATTCGCTTCCCGCGTGCCTCGACAAATACTGATCTTATCTAAGCATCGTTAGGTCTTGAAGATTTTCTCTTGTAGCAGAATCGAAAAGTGTAACGAGTCGTTGTTTCCCAACGTTACAGTAATGTAACGAGCGGAGAAAGTCGCATCTATCGAATTCCACAAGTGCGCACCGATTCGAGGCGAACCGTTCATTGTAATATGGAACACATTTCTGGAACGATTGCATTACGGGTGCTGAAATTATCATAGCAGTGCTTTGGAAATTGTTGATAAATCCCCGACTCGCGAAGCCAGTAGGGCATTTTATCTGAGAACTTCCAAAGCACTCGTGGAATTGAATACGACTATTCTACGAATGAAACTACGTCCAACAGGGTTCCAAAATACGCCAAATATTGAAAATAACTGAAAGCATGATAAAATCAAAGAGGTTATGATATAGTTCATACGGAGTTTATTGAACATCAACACAGTGGTCGATACTTACCGCCTCCTAAGATAGATGAGTCGCAGATTATTATTAGTCAGTAGGGTTTGTTGATGCGACCTTAAATATAAAAAAAGGCGTGAGATATATGTAAAAAAATACATTTGTGTAATTTTTGAAGAAAATAGAGTAAATAAAAATGTATTCCATGAAATCTTAAACAGTGCAACTAGCACTATCTGTTGGAAAACTGAAGAAAAAAATGGAGTCATTTATGAGAAAATGGCGCTTGAGAGTTTCTGAAAAGGCGGAATTTTTACCCAGTTTTCATAGAAATCTGTTGAGTTTTCGAGAAACTGTATATGACATTATTTGAAACACATGTACTCATAAATATAATAGTGTGATTAAATCACCGCTAATGTAAATATAAACGACATGAGAGACAAGTCAAAAAAATTACATTTTTGTATTTTTTTGAAAAAAAAATGAACAGAGCCACATGGCGTTTATGCCATCTTACAGAGTGCATTTAGCAATATCCCTACCAAAAGTTTAAAGAAAATATTTGGAGTCGTTTTTGAGAAAAACTTGTTCTTTGTTATGTTTTAAAATCGCACGCAATATTGCGCGAAAACTACTACAAGTTTTAAAAAAAATGTGCATGTCCTTAATGCAAGAACTCACTAGAACAAATTTTAACTGAAGAAAAATCTCAATCTTCAATTTTGTAGTTGTGTGAAGACGCTGCAAAACTTTCAATTTTTTTTTTTTTTTTCAATTTCATACAATTAAGAGTTAAGCGTAAAATTCTGACCAATACCTTTCATAAATTAATTTTACTCTATTATTACTCTATTATTTTTTTAAAAAATTGAAGCCTTTTTGGAGAAAATTTTGAAAATGTCCAATGGGCTTTATGTGAATTAGCCGCAAATTTTAGAGAATGTTTTTCAAAAT